CGTGTGTGCCGTTCGGTGTAACCCTAACCAAATCCTATCCTCCTGGAATCTAAGGAAGAAAAAACCATTCATCCCCAACTCTCTACGTCAACACAACACGCACTCCGTGCTCTTAGCCCTTGTACGCGCTCAGTGTTCTTTGCCCCTTGGAAAAGCATAAATAATTGTGCAATGCAAGGATTTGGTTTTTACGAACTGTAGTCGCTTAGCCGTAAAAAGCCAACGTTAGCTTGACAATTCGTTTCAAATTTCCTTATTCTGCGCAATGGGAGACGTCCTATGCCTGTGAGAGAATGTACAAAAAAACAACAACAACCAAACAAAGGAGAATTATTTGAAATGTGAAACTACCTTGTATGAACTGTGATGTACGTCAGAGTCACATCAGGGTGAAGTGATACTGCTGTGTTACACAACCAGGATCAAAGATCTTATGACATGTTTTGTTGTTCCATTTCTTTTGGTTTAAAAAAAAGCCAACTAAATTCAGATCCACAGAACATCGTCTTCCTTATTACTTGCAAACATGGACTTTCTTTTTTTGGATCTCTATTGTGGTTCTAGGGTTGTTTCCCTTTATGATAATACAAAAGGTATGGTTACACATGGCGTACTCTTGATTATCCCCACTCCTCCACCCCCCCCCCCTCTTCCTCCCAAACTTTAGAATTTACTTATAATTGTGGGGTATCGTGGTGAAATCAGACGCTCGTCAAAATAATGAAATCGAAGAAAAAGACTTTTTTTTTTGCACGTTCGGCAATTTTTTTCTTCTAAATTTTCAATTTTTTTTGTCCCATCGTCTTTAATGTACGGTACATTTAAAAACACGTTTGTATGGGAATTTTACTTAAGAACGTTGGTCAGAGGCACACACACACACACACACACACACACACACACACACACACACACACACACAACACACTCACACACACACACAATGTAAATTTGCAGTTTCTCAGGCAACTACAGCTTTGGAATTCACAAAACTTTGACGGACATTTTCTCGCTAATTTTATCTCTAAAACTAAAACCAGGCCACACCCGCCTCGTTTCAATCTCAAACATCTCGACGTCTATAAATATATTCGGGTATTTAAAAAAAAAATGAAACAAGACAAATGAACAAGTATTATGATGATGCCAATAACTCCACATTCCCCCCAAAAATGACGAGCGCCTGATTCTACCGCGCTGTGATGACATTAAATTTTGTGAAACAAAATATTCTCTATAGTCCTCTTCAGTTCTCAGCAGAGAATACCCGGTAACATTTTGTTTGTTTATTTGTTTAGTATAGGGTTTTACGGCGCTCGCAACTGCATAAGGTCATATGAGCGCGCGGGACACACCTAATACTTTTTCGTTGGTAGGAAATTTTGAATTTTGTCCGGGTGGCGGCCGAAGCCTACTCTTATCGATTTTAGACCACCAAGGGATCTTTAACGTGCGCAACTTGCACACGGGTCCTCCGAGATTTTTCGCCCTTGTCCGAGAAGGCTAGGTGTAGATCTTTCCTACCAGAAGGTCAGGGGTGTGGTAGAAAGACAGCTCTGTAAGAAGGAGGAGTCAAGGAGTAGCATTAGAAACGCTGCAGAAAGAGTCAGGAGCCCAGAGGAGGGGGCAAAGGAGGTGAGGGGGTGGGGGCAGAAAGAGGAGACGAAAGCAGACGACAGAACATTGCTAGAGAGCAGGAAAGGAGGTGAAAGGAGACAATTTTAGAGAAGAAAATTTTTCGGTCGCGTCCCGGATTCGAACCCGGGACCTTTGAATGAGAGGCCAACACCTTAACCTCTAGGCCACGAGAGCCCCGGTAACATTTTGCACCAACCGACCCAAACTTAAGTTAAAACATGACGTCATAAATTTCTTCTATTGAGGTGTTGATTTTTTTTAGTAGAGGTTTTACGGCGCTCGCAGCTGCATGAGGTCATATGAGCGCCAAGGGGTGGATGTCAACAGAGAGTTCCTTACAGGGAATCAGACTTACTCTGCTCACCTCTTTAGCTTCAACAGCACAAAAGTCTGCTTCGACTATCAAGGCACCCCGGGCACGAGTGTGACAAACATGCAAAAGAAGTAGAGGAAAATGATGATAGTAAGGATAAGGAAAGAAAAAGCAGCAGTTCCCTGTTGTAGATCAGGCACAGTTATGAGCGTGACATGAGTCAGCCCATTTACAATTCTACTGTGCAAGAACGAGAAATGTCCCCCCTTTGGGAATGGCCTAAAGACACTTCAGTCAGTGGCACCGCCCCGGGTGGTATTAGAGGTGTAGGTATTGCACTCTATAATGCTAAATAAGCGGCGTCGGTAGCCTTGTGTGGTTAGGCTACCAGACTCGTAATCATGAGATTGCGGGTTCGGGGGTTCGAGCCTCAGCTCGGTCCGACATTGTGTCCTTGGGAAAAGCGCTTTACACAAACTTCCCACTTGGCTCGGTCCTATCGGAGACGGATGTTAAACTAGGAGGTCCCGCCCCTTAAAAATAACCTAATAGTGTTAATAGAGGCATTAAACCCATGCCATTTCACCATTTTTGTTCAATGCTAAATAACAACAACGGTTTTTTTTCTCGCTCACAGAGGAATTTGCGTGACCAGAGCCCGGGTCATGAACAATAACGACTTTCCCGTCTCTAAAAATAAACTGTGTTTTATATATTATGACAAGCAGATTTTTCACAAACACTGCAAGTTTTCATGAAAATTTTATTCGTTTTGTGAATTAATTAGCCTAATATACGATGCATAATTATATATAATTTAGATGTTCAGTGGATCCTTATCTATTGCTATTGTGCACTTTGTCTTGAGGAGGCGGGGGGCTCTCGTGGCCTTGATGTCAAGGTGTTCGTCTCTCATTCAAAGGTCCCGGGTTCGAATCTGGGTAGTGACGGAAAGTTTTCTTTTCTATTATTGT